CAGATTTTTTATATTAAATTGTTTGCATTTTCTTCTTTATCAGGAACAGTCATTCATGCCATGATTAAATTTTGAATATGATGGTTAACATGATGCATTTAAATTATATCAATAGTTTAAAATACTACATGAAAAAAATGTCAAGTTCTCTTTTGCTGAGAGAAAGATTGAAGCCTTCTACAGAAGGATTATTCTTAATTAACAGAACAATTGTTTCCTTTTCAGAAAATAAAGTTTTGGTTTCTGAAAAAGGCTGGAACTCATCAAAACTTAAAAGTTATCAAGCTAACTTTCTGCAGTAAGAATATATTACAAGTGTGTTCTTTATAACTTAAAATTTAGTAAAACCAAAATTATCTATTGTCTAAGAAAAGAAATCCATGGAGGCACAGCATTGCTGTCCAGGTGATCATAGACATTGTTACTAATGAGATTCCAGCAGATAGGTAACACTTGAGGCCTTGGAGAGTTAAGATCCAGGACCTAGGAGGGAAAGATGGTGAAATGTGTTATTCTAAATGACATAACCGCTAAATGCGAATAACTGAAAATCAGGTGAAGAAAACTAAAAGAGAACACAATAAAATAGTTTAAACTCTTTTAATAACCAGCTCCATGATTGATAGGAGCATTGAGTTTGTTTTGTTATGTTCTTCTCTAGGAGCTATATATACATATTTCCTCTCCCCCCCAAAAAAATGTTGTTTCAGGCATTTAAGTAAAAATCAACTTTTTTTTTTTTTAAATACTTTATCTTGGAAATTTTCAAAAATAGGAAAGAAAGTAGGAATATTAACTTCCTTACTCAGCTCCATCTTCAACAATTATCCACCTATGGCTAATCCTTTTTCATTATACTTCTAACTGCTTCACATCACTAGATTATTTTAAAGCAAATCCTAAACATATTTTCAGTTCATCTGTAAATATTTCAATATGTATATATCTCCTAAAGATAAGGGAGATCTTTTTAAACATAACCATACTTCCTTTAAAAATAGCATTCAATATCATCAGATAGTCATAAAGCGCTCATATTTAACCTAGTATTCATTGACGGTGTTGTGATATTAAGATTGATTGGTTCAGGTGTTGTCAGCCTTACACCTAATGGTTTTAGCAGTCATTGATTATTGTCTAGATCTATTATTTCATTGGGGGATGCAGAATAATATATATTTTTAATCCTCTGATATTCAGTATTCAAATTTCTGAATTTTATTTTCTGTAAATAGGTAGTATAGAGATTTGATCAGATTCGTGTTCAATTTTTTGACAAGAATGTTTAGAAGCAACGTTATATTCTTCGATAAGGAGGCATTTATTGCTTCTTTTTTTGTGATCATGTTAGTAGCCATTGAGATTTATTGTACACAGTGGCTGATAATAAATAATGCTCCCGATTCCTTGAAACTAGCTTCACTTGGTAACCAATTTTTTTTTTTCCTCTGGGAATTACTAGGAATTTTTTTTTTCTTACCCTTGAGTTGTGACATTTCACAGGATATATCCTAGGTTTGATGCTCTGCAATTTGCAAGCCCTTTTTCTGCGTGAAGACCTTCACCTTGGATCAATTTCTTCTAGATTAGTTTTCTTCTCATTTCTTTATTTGCCCTCTCCACTGTCTGTTTCTTACTTTCTGACTTGTTCTGTCACTTTATTCAAGTCTGTTCAAATGTTACCTTATCGGGTAGCAATAATCACTGTCTGTGAAGGCATTCTCCTGCTACTATCTTCTTATCTGGCTTTATTTTTCTTCATAGCACCTGATATTTATTTATACTGTCTCTCATATGACTTGAATGTAAGGCAGGGACTATTTTTTATTCACTGCTGTTTCCTCAATATTTAAAATAGTGTCTTGCACATAGTAGGTGCCCAATAATATTTGTTGCATTAATTATATTAGGTTGTTGAATTCAGCATTCACCCTCATCTTTCAACTTTTACTGCATATTTTAAATATATATGTTTTCTATATCTTGAAATTTTTTAAACGTTATCTTCCAGCAGCCATTGAATATTTGCTTTGAAAACCGTGTCTTTAAATTCTAACATTTCTCTGGTCTTTTTTCATTGCACTGTGTACTTGTTTTACGGCTACAGTGTCCACTTCAGTATCTTTAAGGATACCGAGTAAACTCTCCCACCCCTCATTTTCCCCCAGTAGACTGTCTTCTTATCCTTGAATTTTCTTTATTTCTTCCTTTTTTTTTATCTCGGTCCTTCACTTCTTGTAGCTGGGATTTTCCGGTAGATGGTTTAGATTTCTTTAGTAGCTGTGTAGAGATATTCTTCTAACAGATCTCTTTTTTTATTGTAGTAAAAATAGCACTCCCGATAGAGTGCTTAGGCATGTGGCAGGAAAGGGGAGAAGGGAAAGAAAGAAGGGTTCATATGGCTGACCTGTTCTGAATAAATTTAATTTTAATTATTTTGCTGTTCTACAGCCAACTCTTCCTTCCTTCAAAGACTCTCTTATCTGTGATGTCTTTGGCTGTGGTTTGCTTTGCTTTTATTTCTCTGTCAACTTCATCTTTCCTATCCATATTTTCTAAAATTCCTGAAATTTTTTTTTTAGATGATACTCTTTCTAGTTATCTAATAATATTTTATTTTTCTTTTAAAGTTTTTACAAGATATAGTATTGGAAATGGTTGAAGAAATACATCTTTGTAGAGTGAAATTGGAAAACTCATTTTTTTCTTCCCCCTCTACTTTTATTCCTCTCTCTAGAAGTAACCACTATTAATAATTTAGTTGTTATTTTTAACATAAATATGATTATCTTTTTCTTTTTTGACTTGATAATATATCTTGAATAATTTTTTATCCTACCAATTTTTAAATTTTTTTCCAGATGGATAAAATTCCTTTAGTGCTAATGCATTTTCCTGATCAGATGTTTTCATTTTTGAGCATTTTTTTTTTATCCATTGATTTTAAGATAGGGCAGATGATTTTAAAATACTAGCGAAATACATTTTTTAAAAGGACAAAAAGAATGTTTACAATGTCTAGGTATGTAAGAAATAATTAAAAAAGGGTAGAAGCAGGTCAGCATTTCACAAAATGTAGACTACATATGTAAATCCTCAGTTAACTTACAATTTTTATACTATTATTTTTAAATATTTCTCTTCTGTCACTTCATTGGGTTCTTGGTAGGGAAGGAAATTAGATATGTGTGCTCAATTTAACCATCTTTAGCAGGAATTCAGACAGATATTTAATTATGCCAGGTTCTAAGGTTTCTCTCAGCTTAATTTAATGTCACAAACAAGAAACTTTTGAAGCCTACAGTCACTCATAACATTAGATATGCTTTTATTTTAAGCATCAACACTAACTGATATGTTGAATTATTGGTAAGTAGAATATTATAGGCCCTATCAAGGTTTAAATGGACTTTAGAGATATTCTAGAACAATTTGCTTTAATTTTTACAGAAGAAAAACTCTTGAGATGGTAGGGAATTTGCCCAAAATCTCATTCTTAGTATTAGAATAAGGATTAGGTCTCAGGTATCTCAGCTTTCAGACTCTCTTTCGCCGCCCTCCCCTACTCGGCCCCCCAGCCATTATAGTCATCTCTTCATTTATTATTAAGGAACAACTTCTAGTCTGAAAAACAATCACATTTTTTTCAAAACCTTATATTTTAAATTCTTTTAAACAGACTGCAGGTTTTCATTCAGAATCAGGGACTACGGATTTAGAATTTTAGATTAAAGCCTGCTAGGCATGAAAATTAACTTTTTGAGACCAAGAATAACTCAGCACTTCTTAAATTTGTTTTCATCTCAAATTAGAATCCTTATATGAAACATTATTTCTTTACAGAAGAAGACTGTTTGGAAATACTGTAGCTCTTTGGAAATACTTGTTGCTTTGGAGAAATATGTAAAATATTCTGGCATCAAATAATTAAAATTTTAGTCTTTTATTTTTTTACAAGTTCTGTTTGTGGACACAGAATTTATTGATTCATTTTCCATTTTAATTTTGGAATAGGAAGTAGTTTTTGAATTATTAGCATGTAGGAGGATCAGTCAAGGTCAGTAAATTATTTATTGTAAAACCAATGGAGTAGAATTATTGATGTTCTTCCTATACATTCTATTATCAGAATTTTCCATTTGTCAATATGTGTTTTGTAAATAAGTTTTTCCTACTGTAAGAAAGGTAAGAAAGCTAACATTTTGGAGATCATAAATACTTTTTTTTTTCCCATAAAGAGTTTTAAAGGATAAATAAATTGGAGGTATAATTGAGCATTTAAAGTTGTAAATAATACCTGGACTTGAGTAATGTCCAAGACCAAAGTGGTTGAGAGCTATAATCTGCATTTTCTTATCTTCGGTTATAGAAGTTTTAGAATAAATACATTTCTAAAAATTACATACTAACTTTATTAATTAAAATCCTCTTGATGAAAACTTATTTCATCTTAGAAAATGGCCTTAGGCACTCTCCTTTAATTTATTGATTTAGAACAAAGTGTTTGAAAAAGCATATGAAAAGATTTGGGATAATCACAATGCACATAGTATCCAGCTTGCCAGTGATATTTTTCTTTTTTTGTAGTTTATAAAGCAAAGTATTTTGAACTTTTTCTAGAATGGATTTTTACTTCGATAATAAACAGTCTATATTCAAAGAGTTTCCAGTAATACTACATGCTTCGCTGTGGTATACAGCATTATATTTTATTTAGGATTGATCATGGAACTCCATATGATGGTATAAATTTCCCAATGCTTCCATGTTGTACTGAATTGGAATGAAAAATACATTAAAATTAACATGAAATTAGATTTGTTTTCAAAGTTGAGGGGTCAGTGGGAGAGGTGCTGGCATAGGGATTATTTAATATGTTTGAGACTCCATGGTGGGAGGTGGGGTCAAAGCAGCCTTTTAATCATAAATAGAAAGGAAATTTTGACCAGGGCATTTAGGTTACATGGTTTTTCCCTCTCCTCTACTTTTGTTTGTTACAGGCAAAGGGGAAGATAGTGACGTACTCAGTATAAATGCAGATGCTTATGACAGCGACATAGAAGGCCCATGCAACGAAGAAGCAGCTGCTCCTGAGGTTCCAGAAAATACTGTCCAAGGTGAAGCTGGTCAGATAGATGACTTGGAGAAAGACATTGAAAAAAGTGTGAATGAGATTCTGGGACTGGCAGAGTCTAGCCCAAAGGAACCCAAAGCAGCCACCCTCTCTGTTCCTCCACCAGAAGATGTTCAGCCTTCTGCACAGCAGCTGGAGCTGCTAGAACTTGAGATGAGGGCAAGAGCTATTAAAGCCCTGATGAAAGCTGGTGATATAAAAAAGCCAGCCTAGTTATTTAACTTGAACCTGAATTTTAGGTGTGTTTCAACAAAGCCACGTCGTATAATTTTGTATCTGAAGTTTATTTTGGGTCTTATATGATATTTCTCAATCCTTATTAGATAAACTCATTTTAGGCCTCAAATACCTATATTTCTTTTCTTTGTTGTTACTTTTATATTATATATGTGTTATTGTTTTATGAGTTCATGGCAAATGTTATTGGTTAACTGGATACTTTGTTAGATGAGTATTTAGCTATGTCTACAGATCATAATCCGAAAAGCCATCAGCAAAGAGTCATGGTATTTTTTTCTTTATTTTTAAATGTTTTGGCACCAAACCAAAAAGCTTAAGAAAAATTGACCAAGCATGTTGCTCTTAAAGCTGCCTATATTTTGCAATAGAATATTAAATTATTGCTCTTAGGTTTGTTAACAGTTTAAGAAATTTAGCTCTGCTTATATGCACTTTTAACATATGTATTGTCTTGAAGATACATTATGGGTGTGGATTTACTAGCAAAAACTGAGTAATATTTTTCACTATAAGGCTTAGAGATCAGAAATGGCTGAAAAAAACTTTATGAAAGAAAAAAAGGACTTAATTTAAGGCAATTTTTAACAATGTAGAGTAACTGCCCAACTTTAATTCCAGCAGACAGGTCATTCTAACAGGTATTTGATATTATCAGACACTTTGTTCAACTTTTTTTCCTCAGTAAAAAGGGAACACATTTTCATTCCAAGCTGTCGGGAAAAGAGAATATTTTATTGTACAGGCTTTCATCTGGTGTTTTTGCTTGAAGATCTGATGTGCTATAATTCCATGAATTAAAAATAAAGAAGACTATCATTCTGGATTTGAAGACTTGATACATTTCCAAAAGCAAAATTAATTTCAGGAAGCTTTGATAAGTTGATGTTATAATTAATCTAATTTTGTATAGTTTTTGTAAATAAATTAACATCCTGCCACAATTACAGATTCTTTTTGGCCCATTACTAATTGCAGTCTTTTTATACCAAAATAAACGTAGGTAGAGACTCTTAACTTAAAATAAATTAATTTGTTTTTCTAAAATATAAATCTGGAATTATTGTTTTTATATTTGCTCACAATTATAGTATATTTTATTTATAAGCCATGCTCTCCTAATGTTGTCTGAGGATTTTCTTCAGATATAAAACTTACAGGGATTGTGTTTTCTTAGCTGGCTTAATTATATATGAATTTTAGAGGATTAGTTATGGAAATAGAGAGTATTTATGAAACATTGGAATTGCAGTTACAAATTCATTTTTGTTGTTGTTCTGGACATGCCTTTAAGTAATCTTGACATTTTTCTTTTCTCCTTTAAGCTTTCTGATGAAGCACAGAGACATATCATTTGAGATGCTTCTCTTAGGCTAGTTAACGTGAATCTGATTTAAATAGTGAGTTCTCATAGTTACTCCTTCAAAATGAAAAAGCATTGATTATGGTTTTTCTATTTCAACTTAAACTAAAAGTTAAAATAATAAAGTAGTGCAGAATAAACTTTATTGCTGCTTACTAATTACAAAATGCTGTAGATGACATGTGTGATTAAACATATAGGAGTAGAAAAAAGGTCTGAGTGCTTTGTTACTGATTAAAGTCACCACCTTCATGAAGCATTGTGTGTCTGCTTTATTCAGTGTGCAGAATGGTTTAGAGGACATTTCACCGGAATGTGTATGTGTGAGGCAGAATGAGCTGAACAAATTAGAGGCTACTTAGAGTCCTACTTGGAAATTCAACTTTTCCTCTTATTCTTTTTATTTCTTTTTTCATGTCGAAAGACATGAGAGCTTTTTGAAACTGAATAGCTTTAGAGAATAGAGATAAGTTTGTTTTAGAAATGCCTAAGTAATAGGAAAATACCATGTATTGATCTGATGCTGTTATTTAAATCATCGGCTCACAGGTATTTATTGATTACCTTTAAGGTGTTCAATCTTGTTCAAAATCTTAAACTCAGGGATGTTAAAGTATAGGTTTTAGCATGGAATAGACCAATAAAGATATGGGTGCTGCTGCTTTTTATGCCTAATTCCTCCCTTTTGCCAAGGTAAGGAAAATTAAAATTAAAAGAGAAAAAAATATGGCAGCCTAATTTTCCATATAAAATCAAGTAATCCTGGTATTTGACCAGGAACTTGACCCAAATTTTGAATGATAGGTAGCAACCGATAATAATGGTCCCTCTGCATTAGACTCTGGCCACGTTTCAATGTTCCTACTAATTTACAAATTAGATATAGCCTAAAAACCTATTGCCGGGTTACCTATATAACATGCTAATTATGAAAAATCACCTAAAACCCTCCAAATCCTTTTGTTGAACACTGGTTCTTAAAACTATTAGTCAATATATCCTTTCCTTATAAATCTTATTGCCAACACCTACTTTGAACAAGTGGTTAGAACCTAGGGCATGATCAGCTATCTGACTAGAGTTCTGTTTGAACAATAATACAAATTGCAATAAAATATTTTTCAGTACCATTTTCAAGGTAAATAAAGCGGGAGTGAACCCATAATTTGGGCCAAATATAGATGGCAGCCTAAAAGTTTTAAAAATTCTCTTCTATTCCATCATAAAAATTAGGAAAAGCAAGTTCAGTTATAGATACTTTTCCATTATTGTATCTGTTTAATTCTTAAAAAGTAAAAGACCAATATGCTTTAACTTATAAATGCTAGATATTTTTACATTTTCTTTATCTCCAAGTAGACTCCCTTTTTTAAACTTCCTAAATGTACATTTTATTGAAATATGATACCAAGTTTATTATATAAGTGCAGCAAACCCTCAAGAAATATGTGATTTTTTTTTCCCCTTCTACAGCTGGAAGATTGGTTTGTTTTTTAAAAAAATGTAACATCTCCATCCCTCCTATACCAACCAGTGTCTACTATTGATAGTTTTCTCCCTTTTTGTGTGATTTACTGTCAGTCTTTCCTGTTTTTAAAACAAAACAGTACTAATGAATATCAATAGGAATTCAAATACATTTCCTTGATATTTAATCCTTATTTTAAAAAGCATTGCAATGAAAGGTTTAAGAGGTAAGAAGGAAGGTTCTAATTCTGTCCAAACTAGCTGTGTAACCTTGGACAAGTAACTGTAAAATGGGAGAAATTGTTAACCAGTATATGATTTTTTTCCTGCTATAATTTATAATTCTAGTACAGAATACCATAAAATTTTTGAAAATTTAGGGAACCGCTTTTTAATTAAATTTATTGAGGTGATGGTTAATAAAATATAGGTTTCAAGTATACAATTCTATAATACATCATCTGAATATTGCATTATGTGAAGGAACTCTTAAGTTTATGCATTTCTTACCTCTCCCCTTTTTCCTCCTATTCAGAATGAAGTAATCTGTTTAATCCCTCTGTCCCATAGTGTTGCTGGATATGAAGAAGAATCTAGTTTTTGTTGTTTTTTTTTTTCATTTTACTTATTATAATATTGTCAGGATTACTTGGTAAGTATACTGTCTAGAATTATTCACTTTGGCCCATAAACTTAGGTTATCTTTATTGCCTTATTTCAAAATAATATATAAATAAAGTTAAGTCAAAAATGTTTCCTCCAAGGCTTATAACGAAAAATAGTCTTTTTCCCCTTTTCTTTTTATACCAGCATTTGTTACTGAGAGGTAACCACTTTCAAATCTTTCAAGCGTTTTTTCCATTTATCTCTGTATTTTTAAGCAACATGATTATTATGCCATATCGTGACATTTGTTTTAGATTTTATCTATTGATCTATTTTGGAATATGAAGGTTAAGCTCCATTTTTTCCCTAAATGTGTACCTTCCTCCCTCATTCTCTCAATACAGTGTGGTTACAGTGTACTTTTTAAGTTAGTATTTAATATTTAAATTTTTGACTATGTAAATACTATTGATAACAGGGCTTTGTGACATCTGTAATTATATTTTTTGGTCCAATTTTTATTTCAAATTTTTTCAAATTAATAATATAAATATCTTATTATTTCATTTGATCAGATTTCTCTAGTAGACATTAATATACATGCTGTCTTCCAGAAGTATAAATCTCTTCTCAATAGGATGAAAAACATATAATCTTATCTTTTTTTTTTTTTTCCTTTAAAAACATTCCTGTCTATAGCCATGCTACCCTGAACAAGCCAGATCCTGTCTGATCTCAGAAGGTAAGCAGGGCAGTGGCTCCATCCTGGTTACTTTTCATATATCTACTTCTAGGCCATGCAGGCAGAGCCTGATCCTTCGACTGGCCTAAGTCTTGGCGCAACACCCAACACCGTGTGATCCTCCCAGGAACAAGGCTAGAGAGGCAGTTTTGTGAGGAGAGGTCACAAGAACATTTTCTCATCTTTTTTTTTCCCTGTCGGAGATTCCCCATCTTGCAGAAGGAGGTCTTGAGGCAATTTTCCCATTTGCCTGTTTCCTTGGAGACATGACACTTTTTGCCTAGCCCAATTTAGGGCACAGCTGCAGGCTGTAAAATTGTTTAGCTGCAGCCTGGCACTAGCTTTTAGACAACAGGTTATCCTATCAATCCTCTCGCATCTCTTTTACTTTGTTGTCACCCAGCACGAGTGCCATGGGTACTTGGCTCCTGTTTTTCACTGTTTGTATAAGGAATAAGCTGCCTGAATCTAAAAAGGACACACTGTTTTTCTACAAATTAAATCTTTACCAATTAAACTGTCAGGCCTTGTTTGACGGTTTCATGGATGTGACATTTTACCTGAGGATGTTAATTTTAGTAGTTGTTTTCAAGTTTTCCTCTATTTTTTTGCCTTCTGTTCCCTTCAACTTAACTTTTTTCTTGTGTTGCTCTTTATCTGATGTTTTCTCAAATTTCCTAAATCTATGGTGGTGTTTGGCTGCCTTCACATGTAAGAGTAAGACACTAAAAAGCTGTTTGGAAGCTCTCTGTGGATGAGGCTGATTACTTGGGCCTCACTTTTCTCTTGGGCTGGCCGAGGATATCCATAGTTCACTATGAAGGCTTTTTACTTAATCCTCTTGTTTAACAGGTTAATAGACCTGTCTTTAACTCTGCTCGGTGTGCCTTAGTTTAGAATCTAATGCTTCAACTTTTGCACTCTTCTGTGGAGTTGGTGAATGAATGGATGCCTGTTTGTGGAGACCAATTTTCATGTTTTACTGATGGCATTCTGAGTCTTTGGAGGAACCTAGAATCTTTACTACTGAGCCTTACTTGCGTTGTGTTTAGAATCAGGTGGTTTTTTAATTTGCTACAGGCTCTTAGGTTGCAACCTTCTTCCCTAGGTCAGTTCCACTCATTTGTGTTTCAGCTTCTAAAATTTTATTAACCAATCTGCCTTTTACTATCTAAATGAGTTAGTCCTTTTGATCTCTTTACTTGTTGTTTCAGTGGACTTTAATAAGGGAACAATAGCAAATGTAGTCTATGTTTAAGCAGATGTTACTTAATTTTGTTAACTTGTTCTTGCTTTTGCTTTTAACCTATTTTTTTTTTCCCCCCTAGTGGAAAAGTGTGAGAGAAAGATAGTAGACAGAGAGGACAGCAGATTAGATAGAATCAGTGAGACTTGAGACTGGCAATGACACTTGCTTATGGTCATGTGTTTTTCTTCCTTGTTTCACTGCAGTAATTTTTACTAGACTATGTATTGGTATTCTCAAATGTGTGGTGTGATCTTTCATTATGTAATTTCACACTTTTAATTTTAAGAACATTTACTTAAATTATTAATGTGGTATTCTTTCCCGTTGCTTTGTTTTTCTTCTGAATTTCTTATTATTTACATTGAGTCTTCACTTATCTCTAGTATACGTCACTTTTGAATCTTTTTTTATATTCATTTTAAGTTTAAACTTTTCACTTTTTACCCATTTCCATTAAGGCATTATCTGTTTTATTTATTCACTCCTATGTTTCTTCAAACTTAGTTTTCATTCTAAAATGATTTTTTCCTGTTATTTCTAATTCTGATTCATATTGTTCTTTTAGGGCTTGTATCATTTTCTTAATTATGTTGATCTCATTTTAAAATGCAAGGTAATAGTTTTGATATGGTCAGTGTGCCTCTTTCTGGTATACTTTTATTATCTGTCATGATATTATTCTGCTCCTTATCATCGCTTTCTTTTTTATTTATAATATTGCATAGGATTTGACCTTGATATTTTTGTTTCTCATTTTTATGTGAAGCTCATTTTCCTGAACTTTTAGAAGGAACCTGGTTCAGATTAGCTTTTTTACCTTCATGCTCCTTTATCTGTTTTATTTTCTAACGTTCAAAATATGCTGGCTTGCTTTCTGAGATTTCCTGACTC